ACGTCACATTACATATTTCTAATACACATATTTCCTTTACAGCTCTAAGCCAATCAACAAGCAGCATTTGCAATTTTACCATTTATGGTTTATGTATCCTGTCACATCCTTTTGTCATTAACTCATGATCGATTACTAATAGTCACAAGATACTATCATCAGCATTTTTTAGTTGCAGAAATACATTCTAGGACAAAAGTCAGACGGCCTTTTACACAGTGATGCTCTCTTTTGCATGTGTGGTTAAAATGCAAGAAGAAGCGAGTGGGCCTCCTTATATGTGAATACCATAAAACATGAATTATTTAAATACATTTAGCCATCTTATCTATCTGCCGCCACACTTCCTCTGTCTTGTTTTTCCACCCACCCAGCCATAATCTTTTCCCACTATCTCCTCCCTCCCCTCCCATCCATTATGTGCTCCCCTGACTCATCTCTCCATCATGATCTGCTACCTCTGTCTCCACTCTTGCTGCCCAGCCAAGTTTTTTTCCCCCTGCCTCCTGTCTGACCTATGCATGATCTGCTTCCACTACCTCCCTGCTCTGCATCCCAGTCATTATATGTTTTCACTTTCTCCTTTCTCTCCACTCAGCCATGATCTTCTCTCTCCGTTTCCTCTCTCCCCACTTAGCCATAATCTGCCCAATTCCTCCTCTCTTTCCCCACTCAGCAATGATCTGCTTTCCCTGTCTTCCCTTTCTCCACATATGATCTACTCCCACTATCTCCTCTCTGCTGCCAACCCCCTATCCCCTTCCCCACCCGGTCATCTTCTCCAACCACCCTCCTCTATCAACTTTTCTCTTTCTGATCTGCTTTTTATTTAATTATGGTTGCAAAAATCCATGCAATCTATATCATTCAATTGCGACCGAACAAAACTGGAGTTTCAAGTTAAATCTTTTGGTGATGTAATTATTCTTCTTTCCCATGGCACCCGGTGATACATGATTCTACATGATTGAAGTTCGGTCTGTGTGCTGCTCTGGACGGATAGGGGGCATCTGATGGTTTGATTGGCAGACTGTGCTGTTTAAAAACAGTGAGTGAAAAATCTTGGTTCGTCAGGTCCTTTAAAACACCTTTCATGGCTGGAGATAATGATCATAATGGGAGTGTTAAGGTGCCCATACACTGCACGATTATCGTACGATAATCGTATGCGATCGGTTTTTCGTACGATAATCGAGCAGTGTGAACGGAGACTTGCGACCGTTTCTACTGTACGGTCGCATGTCTTCTGTCGAACCAGCATGTTCGAAAACCAGCCGGGAACGTACGATTCTCGGCTGGTTAGAACGGTGCTTGGAAGACAAATGCCGAACGGGCCGGTGTGCGCACGCAGGGGGGCGGGCTTGCGATGATCGAGAGTGCGATCTGCCTGTCCAAGATAGGCAGATCGTACGTTTTTTTAATCCCTGTACAACCATCGCAAGACTAAAGTCTTGCGATGGTTGTAGAGTGTATGGCCACCTTAAGATGTAGATTTCAACACACCTGTAGCATGTACTGCGCCACAAACCTGTTTAATTAAAGTTTTCACAGGAGCCATCAATGAGGATTTTTGTGCTGCAGTCTTGTGACCATCCAAGACACAGATCACAAACTGCTGATGAAGCTTATCTGACCCACTCTCAATCCCCATCCATTCATAGCCAACTGTGCCAAATAAAAAAACACACAATAAAAGAGAACTCTGATTTTGAATGTTGCTTGTTGTGCCTTGTGTCATTCAAAGATCGAATGTATATTGAAAGGAAGTTACTTTTTAATTGCAGTGAATTAGTCAGCTGGAGTCCTGAGTAGTGGCCTCTGTGGTGACTGAATATGAGGAAGCCATGGCTGAAGTGGAAGGCTGGAACACCCCCTTAATTTCTTCCTCGAGCTGTTTCTGTTCTTTTTTGACACCTGATAGACAGATTTATATCTCTTGCTGTTGGAGTTTTACGAGGGCGTCTATTACATTGTGTAATCAATAAAATGTACAGTGTTATTTATTTAGAACATCTTAATTGTACAGGCAATGCACCAGCATTAGAGCCAGCGGTAATGGCTCATATGTATTGCTCAATTAATGAATGTGCACCTATAAATCAATCATAAACTGAGAAGATGAACTTTTCTCAGAAATAAAAGGTCACTATTTAGTCAAGTTAAATACTCATTAAAATACTTACATTCTGTGTTTTAAATTACACTGAGTGGCCAGATTATTATGACCACCCCATCAGTACTTCGTTGGGCCACGTGATGACTCCACGAGATGACTTCGTTGGGCCGCCTCGTGACTCCAAAAGATGATGAAAGGTGATGCGAGGAATCTGACACAGCTGGTTTAAAAACTAAAATCTGTCATCACATTCTTATAATACCCTTGCACAGCAAGACCCAAATTGGAGGAGGGAGATGCACCAGCCCCCGGCCAGGTTCTACTGCACTGCACACAGAGCTGCCCCAGGGAGCTTGCCAACTGAAGAAGAATACATAGCAACGTGAGCAGAGTGCTGCTGCTTCCTTTCTGTTCAATCAACAGGCATTGCCTCGGGACCAAGTTGCATTCAATAACTGCAGTCACTGATGTCACTGATCTCGCTGTACCTGGAAATGGGTAAAAACCAACCTCCAGATTGAACAGATCCACCACCAGTAGCCAGGAGACAAAATCCAAAATAAAGGTGGAATCTTCTAATGGGGACAATTTAGAATGAGATTTATTTTGGCTAAAAGACACTAAACTCCGAAGTTAAATCTTAAAAATACATTCAAATCCTTTAACTATGAACAACAATGTATCTTATTTGTGTGTCACTCGGCTGTAGATCCTCCAATCATCTCTGACACTGTCCTTCCTTCTGGAGGGGGGCTACGTCTGTTCCCCATGTCCCCTGTGTGTGTTGCAAAGTAGTCACCGCTCAAAGCTCCCCCCCCCCCCCCGGGATGGACTACAATCTCAATACAAATCAGTAAACTTAACCTGAGATTGTAGTCCATCCCGCGAGAGAGCTTGGAGCGGTGACTACTTTATAACACACACAGGGACCATGAATATCTATTTTTGTTGGTGCAGCTGATGGTCGTTGTTGCCTTTCAGGGGGACTCAGGAGGACCTCTGGTGTGTACGTTCAAGGGATTCTGGTACCAGGTTGGAATTGTATGACTTGCATGACCCCTTTCTCAAGGTGACAGACAAATAATACAAAAACCAGTAAAATCACTATGACAGTAAATAAGGAAAAAGAACTCTAACGGAGCCCCAGATATCAGTAAAAACCTGACATGGGATCTAATTCTCTCCCAATGAATCCAAAACTAGAAATATTATTTTGGCTTGACTTGCACTTTAAGCAAGACACACAGAATAATGTGGGAAACAATTTAATCAGTTCTCAAAGGATTGGAGTGGGACTCTGCTCAGTATAACTCCCCTTTGCCAACATGGGAAGGTAAACTTAAAGGAGGGGGCACAGATGTTCTGGTAAAAATGTATAGGGGGAGAGACCTGGACACAGCTGGTTGCTGGGAGGCCTCTGCCTCATTTGTGGCTGGTCAAATTGGTCAGAAGACGAAGATGGACAATTCAACAGCTGGCTAGTAATTTTCAAAACATGGGTCCACTTTGAGGAAGTCAGAAATGATTTTTTTCTTGTCAGAACCTTGTCTACAGTCTTCATGCAATTTATATTCTGGTCCCCCAAAATGTGTGGGTGGATCATTTTTGGACCCAAAGGAATGGAGCCTGAACAGTAAATATTTCAACAAAAGATCTATTACTACATGGCAGATTTAATTATCCTCATGCGGAAAAGCTGGCAGTCTGGAGGTTGAAAGGTCAAAGCAGTCAGTTGTCTTTACACTACTGTAACTCAGTCCAGAAAATCATCTACTAATCTAACTTATTCTATAGCATGGGACATCTTTGTCACTTTTTCTGCTCCGATGTCCCTTGTGTCTCTGAAGTCTTCATAATTGTCATTAAGTATGATAGTCCTCAGCTATAGCTCGCGGTATACTGAGCTTAGGGTGACGGGAGGACACTAGTTTGTGTCCTCCCGTTACCCTAAGGAGAACTATGGGGAAAAGCCTTAACCCCATAGTTCTCTTTTAAGGGAATCCAGTTAGTTCTCCTTTAAGGGAATCCAGTTACAGCAAACTGGGAGAGACAGAAAGTGACAATTGCTACAACTTGATACTTTCCATACAGCACAAGTGTGTTATTATGGTCTCCATGATACTATAGTATCAAAGTCATTGTATTTGTGGAAAATAATTGATACTTGGCACAAACAGTTGGGCTTGAGGTGGAGAACGTGGTGTACTTTGTTATAATAGTCTTAATTTGTATTAATTGTGCATTTACCTGTTCCTTGTAACATGATGTTGTTCCACACACACTAGTGAAACTCTGATTTGGATTCTGCTATTTGCCTCAGAGCTGGGAATGCCGGCTACCACCTACATGACAATGCCAGCCGATCACGTACCACAGCATTGCATTGTGACCAGTGAAGGGCAGTGTGATTATTTGCCCAAAAGCCAGAACATTGAGAATTTATATATACAGATTGAAAAAAAGGCTTTTTTTAAGCTTGCCCAGTCACAGGGTTAATTTTTTGTAACATTTTCCAAACTTCAAATGTGTGGCTAAGTTATTTACACCGGCAATAAAGTAATAAAAAACAAACGTGTGTGTATTTTTAGAGCTTTAGTCTACCATTTGTTTCCTGATTTTGTTTTTTTATTTTACACTAATTTCACATTATGGCAATATGGCTTGTTTCAGGTCAGTGTCTAAAAGTTTTGATGCCAGAGGCAGCCGGGAATATAGCGCTATAGGAAGAGGGACAGCAATGGAAGCCTGAGGGAGGAGAGGGGAAGGGAGGAAAGGAGAGGGGAGGAAAGGAGAGGGGAGGAAAGGAGAGGGGAGGAAAGGAGAGAAGGGAGGAGAGGAGATGAGAAAAGAGGAGAGGAATGGAGAGGAGTGGGGAGTAGAAGAGTGGAGTGGAAACGAAAGGGGAAAAGCAGAGACGAGAGAATAGAAGAAGAGAGGAGAGAAAAGAGCAGGAGGGGAGGAGAAGAGAAGAGAAGAGATGAGGGAAGACGAGAGGTGAGGAAAAGAGAGTGGAGCGGAAGAGAGTAGTGGAAGGAGAGGGGAGGGGAGGAATGGAGAGGAGTGGGGAGTAGAAGAGTGGAGTGGAAAAGAAAAGGGGGAAGAAGAGACGAGAGAAAAGACCAGGAGGGGAGGAGAAGAAATGAGGCAAGATGAGAGGTGAGGAAAAGAGAGTGGAGCGGAAGAGGGGAGTGGAAGGAGAGGGGAGGAATGGAGAGGAGTGGGGAGAAGAACAGTGGAGAGGAAACTAAAGGGAAGGGGAGGGTATTCACATTGCTTTGTTTATCCCGAGTGTCCCCCATCCTCTGGAACTCATTACCCCCATTCTGTCCGCCTAATGCCTATCTCCTACGCTGACCACCTTTAGGCAATCCTTAAAAACTCATCTCTTCAGGGAAGCCGATCTCATCTCAACATAACTGCCTTTTACTGCCTCCAATAACTCAATATAAACAATTATTACCTTTTGTATCACTTGCCCCCCCTACTAGATTGTAAGCTCTCCCAACCCTATTGTTCTGAAACTGTATTGTGTTGTAAATTGTATTGTAACTGTACTGTCACCTCCATTTTTAAAGCGCTGAGCAAATTGTTGGTGCTACATAAATCCTGTATAAATACTAATAATTAAGAGAACTGATGAGATTGTGTTGATGTTGACACTAGAAAACTATGTCACACAGCGTTGGTGCCTGAACATGTTGTGCAGTCCTAGCTTTAGATCGTAACTCATTAGGATGATTTCATTGCTTATGGAATTCAGAGAGCAAGCTTGAAAACATATTGAGCAATGTGAAATTGCTGATTTTGTTGAAAAATCGACTCTGCTAAATCAATGCTCAGTGCGTGCCAAGCTTCATTCCAATTCCGTGTAGACTTCTACCGTGTTTCCCCGAAAGTAAGACCTACCCCGGAAGTAAGACCTAGCACTATTTTTCAAGATTCTTGTAATATAAGACCTACCCCGAAAGTAAGACCTAGTTTGGTGGTAGCATGTACTTTACTGCGCTGTCCACTGTCTGATGTCCCCACTGCTGCACCGCTGGTATCGCTGTCCCTGATGGCAAAGGATACAGGCGCTGTAGAAAGCAAGCAGAAAGCGGCGGCGGAGGGAGCAGAGCCGCATTGGCCACTACTTCGTCTATAGCGCCGGTTACTGTGACAGGCGGAGTGATACCAGATGCACTCCGCCTGTGAGAGAACGCAATCTGCTTTACTGACCAGTAGACATGTGCGATTCGTTTCGTTCCAAATTGAAATTCGGACGAATTTTCGGAAATTCGGACATTCGGATGCAAACGAACGAACGAAACGAATAAGAACCGAGCACGAAACGAACGTTCGAACTACCGCTACCGAATTTCGTCCGAATCCGAATTCCGAATCCGAACTTTCACACCCGTATCCCGAAAAACGAAATAACACAAATCCGAATTTAAAACGAAACGAAACTAAACAAATTTTTTGGCAGTGCACATGTCTACTGACCAGTAGGAAAAGAAATAGAGCAACAGTAATATTCTAATTCTTACCATACC